TCTGCCTTCTTCCCTTGCACACCCACGCTTGCGTTCCTATACCCCCCACACATTTTTTCCTGGAGTATTATAATGTAAATCTCAGACATAATTTCCCTTTACCTGTAAATGCTACATATCTCTAACGGATAAGAACATTCTTTTAAAAAATTCATACCCCTAGTACCATTATCCTACCAAAGAACCAATAATTATTTTATATCATCTATTATTCATTTATTTGAATCCTGATCCAAATGAAGTGCACCCTTGCATTTGGTTGGTTTAGAACTCTTTTAATTTATACTCTAACCGTCCCCTGCCCACAACTCTCTGATGCTATTTATTAGTTGAATAAAGTAGGTCATTTTCCTATAACATTTCCCACATTCTTGATTTGGCTTAATTGTATTCCTCCAGAATATGCTTATTCCTCCATTCCCTGTGTCTCCTGCAACCTGGCTGGTAAGGTCTAGAGGTGTAATTAGATTTTTGTTAATAGTCCTACATAGCTGGTGCTGTGTAGTGTATCATGTGTGGAGGCACATGGTATGTCTGGTTTTCATGCATTTAACGTTAAGATTGGTTCAGAGGCCTCTGCTGTTGTTAGCCTGATTGAGCCATTATAGAGTTCTTCAGCAACATCTTTCCTAATGGTTTTAGCATTGATGATCTTTTGTTTCATTAGGGGCTACATAATGGTCATCATTTTTCTGTTGTTTCTTCTGAGTTTATTAGGTGGAATTCCTTTATGAAGAATCATTTTCCTTCCTTAACTCTTTGGTTAACTTGCAATGCAATTTGTACCAAAAAAGTGCACGATAAATGGTTCTTTCCTTTTATTATTTCCAAAATAATTAGTTTAGTGCCGTCGCAACTTCCAAAGGTGACCAATGATTTTTTAGTATCATTTGAGCTTAAATTTTTAGAGACTTATCAATTGCAGACTTAAAAAAAAAATTCAAATTGTCCTATCTTTGGTGAATGGGAACTCCTCCTGGGTCCTTTAGACACAACCCCAGAGTGGCCTTTGATAACGTCCTTGTTTATAGTAAAATAGAATGTTCCAAGTTCATCTTATACATTTCATGCCTCAGACCTCAAATTACCCATTTCTCCAAGGAGCTGTGGTTCCTTTTAGTGGGAAGTGGTATTTAGAGGCCACAATATGTCCTTGACTATTATTGCTTACTGGGCCTTCATTGTTTCTAGGCTCCTTCAGTAGGTAGATTATTTAAAAGAAAATAATCATGAGCCCACACTTGGTTTCAATTTAAATGTAAGATTATAGGGTTTCTTAATAGAAAAGTTTCCTTGGTTTTATTTTTTTCTTAAGCTGAATTGCTTGGTTCCTAACAATATTGCTTTAACTACTTGTTTTAAAAATATTGTTACTGGGGCACCTCTCTGGCTCAGTCAGTAGAACATGCAAACTCTTGGTCTTGAGGTTGTGAGTTCAAGCCCTGTGTTGGGCCTAGAGCAAAAAAAAATATATTATTACTAATATTATGACTAACAATAAGACTACTATTTAATGAACACAGTCATAATACTGTGTTTTAAGGTCAGTTGGAGTAACTGTTTTCTCTTTGTGGTTATGACACCAGCTTGATATACAGCAACATTCATTTCTTTCAGTTGGCTTTCAGTTTTTATGAATTGATTTTTTTAGGGGTGCCTGGGTGGCTCAGTCAGTTGAACGACTGACTCTTGCTTTCAGCTTGGGTCATGATCTCAGGGTCGTGAGATGGAGCCCCATGTTGGGCTCTGCACTCAGCATGGAGTCTGCTTGGGATTCTCTCTCTCCCTCTGCCCCTTCTGCTTGTACGTGCTTTCTCTCTCTCAAACAAATCTTAAAAAAAAATGATTTTTAAGTGTTTTAAAATGTATTTTTAATAACTTTGTTGAGATAAAACTCACATACCATACAATTCACCCTTAAGGTGTATATACAACTCAGCAGTTTTTAGTGTATTTACAAATACGTGTAATCATCACCACAGTCAATTTTAGAACATTGTCATCTTAGTAAGATATCCCATACCTTTTAGCCATCATCCCCTGCCCCATCCCTTCATTTCTTCCAGCCCTAGGCAACCACTAATTTATTTTTTCTCTCTAGAGATTTCCCCATTCTGGACAGTTCATGTGCATAGACTCATAGGATACGTGGTCTTTTTTAACTGGCTTATTTTCCTCAGCATAATGTTTTTGAGGTTCGTCCATGTCTCTGTGATCCAAGGGGGTATTTCAGCCTCACCCCTGGGTTCTGGGATTTTCACAAAGGCATCTTGTCTATGGATAGTTTCTCATTGGTCTTTTTGTGAGAGATTGAAGTTGGCAATCACCTATTCCACCGTGTTGGTGACATCACTTCCCATATTACCTTGTATCAATTATATGCATTAGAGCTGATTTATTGTCTTTCTCTGTTTAGTATGTCTTCTTTGCTTTTTCTAATTTCTTTTGGTATTTAGGAAGGTTTACTTTTTTTTTTTTTTTTTAGATTTTATTTATTTGACAGAGAGAGACACAGTGAGAGAAGGAACACAAGCAGGGGGAGTGGGAGACGGAGAAGCAGGCTTCCCGCTGAGCAGGGAGCCCGATGCGGGGCTCGATCCCAGGACCCTGGGATCATGACCTGAGCCGAAGGCAGATGCTTAACATCTGAGCCACCCAGGCGCCCCTAGGAAGGTTTACTTTTATGTTTAGTAGTTTTTTGGTGTATAAACCCTTTTGAAATGGCTACATTAGTAATTTATTGCTATATAATAAATTACCCCAAAATTAGTAGCTTAAAACAGTGAATATTAGTTTTCTCACAGTTTCTATGGGTCAGGAATCTAGGTGTGGCTTACTAGTTGGGTGCCTCCTCCTCAGTGTCTGTTATGCAATCTGTAGGCAAGCTGTTGCCTGGGCCTGCAGTCATCTAAAGGCTCAAATGGGGCTGGCAAATCTTCCTTCAAGCTCATTCACAGGGTTGTTGGAAGGCCTCAGAAGACTCACTTCCAAGATGGCTCATGTCATTGCTAGCAGGCTTGGTCCCTCACCACATGGGCCTCTCTCTAAGCTTTCTGAGTGTCTGCCCAATGTGGCAGCTAGTGATCTGAGAGAGAGCCAGATACCCAAGATGGAACCAAGTCTCTTTAATCTCAGAAGTGACATCCATAACTTGTGCTGTATTATATTTGTTAGAATACCTAAGGACAGCCCACACTCAAGGGCAGGGGATTACACAAATACATGAGTGCTTGGAAACAGGCGTCACTGACTGCCATCGTATGGGCTTTCTACTATAATTCCCATAAGCTCCTTTATTCTACCTGGTGAAATAGTTTGACTCCTACCTATTACTTATATGGGTATTAATGATCTTGTTCTACTTTTGACTTTATTTCTATTTTTTACTTTTCTTTTAAAATTGTATTCTTTCAACTTTGTCAGAAAATATGTTTAAATTCTATTTTCTCATGTCTTCAACTTCATTATTAAAGTTAACTCTACGATTAAATACAATGAAATGTTCCTTTTCAATCATTTTGCTGAGTTTCCCCAGTCACCTATTGGTTGGCTGAAGCCCATCCTCTAGTGGATTCCTCAGGAAGGGAACTTGTTTACAATTTTCCCTGAGCTTTTACATGTCCAAACTCCCTTTCTGTAGCTTCAGTAATTGAGGGAGAGCTTGGATTTATATAAAATCCTTGGTTCACACTTTTTAAAATTTTTGGAAAACATTGTCCTCCATTTTCCCATTTCATAGGTTGCTTTTTCAAGGTCCAATGACATCTAATTCTCTTGCCCCTGTAAGTTATTTTACCTTTTTGCCTGGAGGCTATGCGGAGTTTAAAAATTTCTCTAAACATCTAATAGTTGTGCTAAGATAGGACTCAGAGTTGACCATCTGGGTCTGTTTTCACAGGCACCTACCAGTTCCTTTTCATTATGTTTTCTTTTATTTCTGGAAACCTTTTTATTGGATGATAGTTTTAAATATTAGTTCCACTCCAGAACTTTATTTTTCTTCTTCACGGGCTCCAGTTATAGTGTGTTGGGTCTTCTTTTGACTGTCTGCTATTTCAATCATTTGTTCTCTGATTTTTTTTTTTCTTTTTTAAACATTTCATATTCATTTCCTTGGGTGTTTTCCTGCTTTACTTCCGTGTACCTTATTACATTTTCATTCAGATCTATTTTTCTTTCTGCACCTCTTTCCTCACTGTTTTGGTCTGGTAATGACTTATTGTCCTGTGAGCTTTTTAATGACTTTTATGGTTTTTTACTTGACATTGTATCCAAGCATTTTTAGTTTTTGTTTGTTTGTGTTTTTTGGGCACAGAGTTGAATAAACTAGCTGGCTATTACTGAAAACAGAAATCCCCACTTAGTCATAAATGGGCCTCCACAGTTGCAAGTGTCCTACTACAAGGCATAAAGAAAGATATGTAGAGGGGAGATGTCCTATCTCTTTGATTTGGAGATATGGAGTGGCTGTTTAATGACTTATTTATGACTATAAACTTTGAAAATTCTCCAGAAACTTCCTTTTCCTTATCTTATCTCATGCTACTTTTTTAGTCTCTGCCCAGCTTGAAGGCCTGAAGCCTTGTGTTTTTTCTGTTTGGAGGGTGTCATGAGAGAGAATTGTTCAGTAAGTATAAAGTAGCGAACTATGAAGTGTTTTTATTGAGCAGTGTTTATTTGTTTATCTGGGAGGATAAAAGTACCAAATGTAGGAACTGCTTGTATTTTCAGGTCTTCCCTGAGCTTGGTCCAGAATCACTTGGTTTGTCTAAAAGGAATCCTAGACTTTGGGATAAGGCTAAAGCTGGACTAATTACATGGAACAGACTCCTCTAGTTAAGGCATTTGTTACAAGTATTTGATGTATTTTTGAAGATTAGTCTTTTCTAAACCTTTTTTATTTGAGAAAGCTTTAAAAAAATTGTGACCTGTATTCAGGAATTAACTGTATTTGTTCTAAAATTTTTTTTTTTTCACTTCTAGGTGAATGAAGGAAATAACTAAAAATGACCAGTAGAAGACTCGAGGAGTCTGTGGGGGCCGTACAGATGGGGTTAGTCAGAATGCTGAAAGGATTCCAAAGCAAGGTTCTACCACCCTTGAGTCCAAGGGTGGTTACAAAAGAAGAAGCAAATCGAATGGTAATGTACCCGAGACTTTTAAGTGTAAAATACTTAATGCAGTCTCCTCAGGAGGATGACAGTGGCTACTTGGCATTCTCAGAAATCAAACAGAGAATTACTGGCTGATAATGTCAGTTTAGATAACATGGCAGCTTGCTGCAGAGCAGAGGTACCTCTTAAAAGCCAGGGAAGTTTTTGAAATTACATACCTCAGAGTAGAGACTTGAATTGCTTAAGTTAATCAGTTGAAGTAAGACTATGCAAGGAAATTATTATGGTTTTCTAAATGTTAGGTTGAACCCTATGAGACTGCCATTTGTGTAGTTCAAAAACAATGAGGTATCAGAATTTCATAGGGTTTGACCTCGACAGTATATTACCTGTTGCTTGGCAAGAATTATTTCTGTTTGCATATTTGTAGAATAGAATGATGACTATATGGTATCAAGGAAAAATGCATTTTTCTCTGTCCTTTAAAATAAAACATATTTCTAGCTTTAAAGAGTTATAATAACTTGGTGAGAATGGAATTATAAAGTACATGCTATAGAAAATATCAGTAACAATTTACAGGGTTCAAGATAGTATTCACCAAATTTTAAAAACCGGTCTCAAATTATGTTCTGAGGAGAAAAATAAAACCTATCATCCCTCTCCTTTGGGATGGTTATCATTTCATATTTAAAGTAACTCCCGACTTTTTGCTTTTAAGACTTCATTATTTTTTTAAAAGATTTTATCTATTTATTTGAGACAGAGAGAGAGCACAAGGGAAAGCAGAAGGAGAAGCAGACTCCCCGCTGAGCAGGGAGCCCGATGCGGGCCTCGATCCCAGGACCCTGGGATCACGACCTGAGCCGAAGGCAGATGTTTAACTGACTGAGCCACCCAGGCGCCCCAAGACTTCATTATTTTTATTTATACTGTGACACAGCTGATACCTCTTAACATTTTAGTATTATAATCTGGGTTCCAATCAAAAAGAACCTAAAAAACCAAGTAAGAAGCAGCATTAGAAATATGCCTTCATTTATGTGGATTCAATTACAGAAATTAATTCTGTAGGGATTTTGAAGAGCATTGATTTTAACCCAAGGTGAAACGAATCAGCTAAATTATATACCTCTGGATGTTTTAAAAAAGTCTTGGGTACATACTTAAGCATTATGTTGCTGTGAATGATTATCATCCCCTTGCATATAAAGTAAACCCTGGAACATTCCAGAACAACAATAAGCAAATAATAGTGTTTGGTCCTGGGTAAATAAGCCTTGTTGAGTTATTTAAATGATTTTATTTAAATGATAGGTTACATTTTTTTCTCATAACATTAGAAAGTGTTAAAGCATTTTGTGTTCCTGTTTGGGTGTGTGAATATGAGTGGCTGCTGAAACTGCTGATGGGCTTAGGGCTCTTTTAAAACTGGAGGGTGTTATGCTGAGTG